TTTTTTAAGATTTATTTATTTTTGCATTCAGAACTGGGGTACAGGCCAGAGGTGCTGGGGTGGTGAGAATTCACCAGAGACAGGGTGGGAAGCAGAACAGGCAGATCAACGAAGTATACTGCTGAGGGGAGCAGCAGGCAGATCAGGAGAGGTCTGCTGTGCCATGTGGGTCAACTGGGGGACAGGGATCCAACTCGCACTGAGGCGGCTGCAGCAAACTTGCAGTGCTGCGTCCTTACCCTCTGCGCCACCAGGCAGGGCCCTCAAAAAAAATCTTAAAAAAAAAAAAAAAAGCAATAGCCCAAGATCCATGCCAGGGATGGCAAGCCCAAAAGTCTCTAGCAGCAACAGGGAAGAACCTGGTGGGGTCTCCATCCCTGTCTAGAGCATTCAGCGTCAAGTGTCCCTCTGTAGGCGATTGTTACAATGGGCGCTAGACCCCAAGTTTACCAGATATTCACAAGTGTCAAGGGAGAAATCAGAGGTTGGAATTTTTATGTGATATTTCCCAACTTTTGTATTTGGATTACATTCCATTAAGTATAACAGAATGTTCAAGATCACTTGTAGCATAGATCAGATAGCAATGTTTTCCTCTTAAGAGAAGTGGCTCCACGGTGATCAGACATCTGGGTTCCTGCCAGCTGTCTACTCTATCATGCCTAGGGTGTGGCCTTTATCTTTGTGACTCAGTGTGGAAGCTACAGCTCTAACAGCCAAGTTGAAGTAGCAGGATGGAGGACTAGCTGGGCCTGTTGTATATTTTAAGGAGATGATCACAGCATATCTGCTTATCCCTTACTTTCTAGAATATCACCTCATGGCACAGCTTACTGCAAGTTGAAAAACATCACATCTTTCAAGTTCACATCTGTATTGTTCTACTACAGTCCTTGGGGCAAAATTCCTTCTTCCCCGGAAACCTCAGATTTATTTAACAAGATCATTCATGTAACTGAGGGTAATTGCCTTCGCTTAGTAAACAGATTGTAGATGTTAATCACATTGACAAAATATCTTCATGGCAACATCTAGATCAATGTTTGAACAATTGAGCACTGTAGCCTAGCCCAGTTCACACATCACATTAACCATCACAGACATTAATTCAAAATTTAAATAACTGTGCTGACGACATCTACCTATGAGTCAGGTTTGGCCTGTGGCCTTGCCAGTTTGCAGTTCTTCCTCTGTATACTCGAGCAAAGCGCCTGGGCCTCTAGAGACCTCCAGTGTGGTAATTTCCTGGCCGCACACTTCTATACGACTGGAGCATCCATGTGTGATAATGTTAGAGGGCAAGCAGAGGTGCAGTCCAGACCCCCAAACCTGCCTGCTCTAAACAGCTTCTGCCATCTGCCACATCAAAACAAAACATAAAAGCTTTCATGGAAAGGAACTTTAATACAGACAAGACAAAGAATATAGTTTTCAAATCAAGTACCTGAAGTTACCCATCCCCTCATAGGTAAATGTCTTGCCAAGCAGTGTTGGCCCAAAGCAAGGCCTCAATCTAGCTCCGATCTAGCTCATTAAATTATTTTCCTATATCATCTTCATCATGTGATGAGATTTAAGTGTAGTCTTTGAGAGTAATAATCTTGTCCTACTTAACCCTGTATTCACCATAGAAACTAATTCTGTGCCTTGCATATAGTTAGTTGGCCTCAGTAAATTTGGTTGAATAGTTACACTTCTATCGTTTGTTTTCAGAGGTATAACATGTAAAGAGCTATAAAAAGTGCCTTTTTATAAAAGGCACTAAACCAATTGAGGCCCATGCAAAAAAAATAATGATTGTGTGTCTTATACAGGAGAAGAAAATATGAAATATTAGTAGGCATTTTGCTTCCGCTATCCATCCCACAAGTGTGTAAACTTCCTACATTTAATGGGACTCTGTCTCTGATTTACAGCTCTTTTCCTTTGTTTCCTAAGAGAACTTAGTTTTTTCCAGATCCAGAAATGAGATATTAAGAGTTTTCAAAGGTCGTTTTGCAAATGTTGTCTTAGACCAAGCTATGAAAAACTGCTAACTTCAGAATACAGTGTGCAAGCAGAAGGAACCTGGAAGGAACAAGATTTATAATTTTGCCTATATCTTTTTGTTCTATACTGTCTCTTTTAATGTTCCTATCAGGACTCTACAGATCCATTAAATAGCAGATGTATTGGTCTTTCTTGTTTCACTTACTATATAAAAGTTTGAATTTTATGGTGAAGAAGACAGACTTTGAGTCATGAAATGAAAGGCAGGCCTGGTACCACAAGGGCAGTTACAAATGAGTCTGTAGACAGCCAGACCCTTGGCAAACTTCTATTAACCAGTTTTAAGTTTGAGTCATATCCCCACATACCTTCTGATCTTGATAATAAGTTTATACTCTATGAATAAGACTAATAGGCATATCAAAAATGGCATGCTCAGATGTTAACTGATTCATTCTCACACACTATCATAACATAGGCTTCTATATCTAAATTATACACCACAAAAGATGTTTGAGAATTCAATCCAGGGAATGAAAATAAAATTCAACTGAGTTAAGGTCCTATGTCCCTAAACAACAAAATCTAAAAATCTGCAGATTCCCTGAGAAGGGAAAAATACTAAATTATATAAAACTATGATTTTTTGGATAGGGTAAACTCTGACTTGTTCAACATATGTTGGAATTCTAGAATGGAAAATCAAAAACTCTAGGAAAGGAAAATAGGAATTTTACCAAAGAGAAACATTGTGTAATAAACTGAAAGGCTACAGGATCACCAAATATATTAGTGAGTTGATGAACCAGAGGCTCTAAATGAATTTAAGTAAACATAATTAGATATTACATTACTTAAACAAATCAGAAATTTTTATGTCTCCTCCACCTCTAAGTTTTTGGTCTTAATTTCATGGAGGGCACTGATCCCCCACAGATTTTTTTTATTTTTTAAAGATTTATTTATTAATGCATACAAGAATTGGGGTACAGTCCAGAGGTGCGGGGATGAGAGGATCCACCAAAGACAGAATGGGGAGCAGAACAGGCAGATCTACAAAATACACTGCCATAGGGAGCAGTAAGCAAGGCAGAAGAGGTCTGCCACACATGTGGGTCACCTCCCTGGCCGAAAATGGAACTCATGTTGCAGTGGCTGTGGGTAGATTCATAGTGCTGTGCTTTAACCTGTTGCGCCACTAGGAAGCCCCAGCCCCGCCCCCCTGACAGATTTTAGTCCCAGAATAGCTGCCTCCAATACAGAAGAGCAGAAAGGGAACCCATTTCTATTTCACTGTTGCTCATCAAATGCTGTAATCCTGCATTGCACAATTGTCCTGATATCCTCAATTTCCTCCCATATTTCAAAAACAAAATCATGGGAGGATTTCAGTTGAAAAAGGACAAAAATGAATTGGAAATCAAATTTTGTCATAGTTTGGTGGGAAGGAGAGTGGGCTCCATTGTGAGTTGCCTTTGTGAGATGACAGGCCAGCTATCATGGGGATGTGGTCTTTTCACTCATTCACGAATGGTGTGGGGAGGCTAAGAAACCTACATATGTGCTATCAGGTTTTACCCGGACGCCAGGATTCAACATACAGGTTTGTCTTTGAGCTGAGAAATCCTTTTAGCCTCTAAATGCTTCAAGTGTTCAGGGCTTTTGGTAGGAAAGTACCCACTATTAAACTTTCTCAAGCATGTGCCCACAGTAGCGCTTACAATACTGCTTTCCTTAGTGTAATTAAATTTTGCTTTCTCCAAAACCTAATGCATGGCTATCTAGATGATTGGTATTTGAGAAAAACAGTGATGTAGCCATCACATGTACTATTTCTGGATCACTTTCTTTCTTGTCTACCTATCAGACAAATCTTAAAAGGGTAAACTAATACATGTATAAGAAACAGTTTTTTTCCTCATAAACAATTTGACAGAGTGGGCAGAAATTGCTTAGAAAGATGATAGGAGTAAAAAAAAAATTCCTACTTGCCTATTTACTATTTTAAGAGCTGATTTAAAAATCAATCCACTTTGAGGTATATTACTAATGACTGGTCCTTGAGCTTTCAGGTATTTTTAGTTATGTCATTGTTTGCAGTCTCTTTAAACTATTAAGTGTTACATCAAAATATATCTGCATAGATTTTTTGGGTAAGAATTCTAGCCCTAACCATGCGTTGAATTAAAAATGCAACACAAACCCAGCCTCATAGAGAAAACAACCCAGGCTTGCTAGAAGCACACGTTAACATAGAGGAACTGCAACAGGGAGACCTATGTGCTCTTTTCAGCACATTTTTATAGTTAGTGGTAATCCAGGGAATGCTGTTAGGAGGTAGTTCAGTATCATTTCCCAAAATTAATAGTATCAGAGAATGAAAGGTAAGGTTATTCAACTCAGCCAACAGCAAAATCAAGCATATTCACTGCCAAGCTCTTTCTGGATTGTCCTTGTGAAGAATATGCAGATTCTCCATGGAGCTCTCTCTCAGGCACATGCCGTGTTTTCTCTAACACTGACAGCAAAACCGATTGTCCTCTGCAAGCGCAGCACAGTTCTTGATTATTAAGCACTGAGCAAGCTTTCATTAAAGACCAAGCTACTTTGTTCTGACCCCACAGAGAATATTACTACTTCCCTTTTGTATCTTCACTTAGCAATGCCATGTTTGCAAGGAAGGTGACAGGGAACTAAGAAGTGGAGGGTGTGTGAGGGAACTTTGGAACCCTGGCTGGGCCTGGGGAAGCCTTTCTCATGCCTCTGGAAATGGGGCCTCATTATTTTCCGTAAAAGTACAATGAAATTCCAGAACAGTGGTCAAATTCCAAGTCTAATGGCATAATGGTATAACATCGCATGCCAACAGCAAAATAATACTTTTCTCCCAAATTATTTGCTATTAAAATGGTACATGCCATGTATGTGGAAATTGAGACCGAATTGGATATGCTTTACATTTGCATTACAGCATTTTGTGTTCATGAGTCCTGATCCCTGAGGATGCCAAATCTAATGACAAGTGAAATGTTTCTTGATTTATACTGAACTGATTGATCATAAGTGGTATTCCATTACAGAAGGAAAATGCTACATCAGATTTATCGTAAGAACTTTAGCGTATGGTATGCTTTGATACACATAGATTGTAACCTAGAGAACAAAGAATCTCAGTTATGAGCGCTGGCTTACCACCCTAGGGGCAGGGTGGAGTGGATAACCTTGGACTATACATTTGAAACCTCTAGTTAAAATGAGGTTTTATAACAATTTACACATTAGTGCAAAACTTTAGTACCTACCAGACTGCAATATGGCATCTGCATAAAAGGAATAAAGTTAATACCTCAGCCAACAAACCAGTAAATTGTATGTGGCAGGAATGTGCATTTCTCACTGTTCTGGTCAGGTCTCTGTGCTAATTTTCAAGTTTTTTTCTCTTTCACAATATGCTTTCATTTCCCTTTGATTTAATCACAGCCATTTTCTTTAACGCAAGCTATTTTAAGTAAGTTTTATTCCTAAATATCTTCAGGTTTATTCCATTAGTTAAACTCAGGCAGACATTAACCCAACTTGAATACTACAAATAAATGAAGTCACAGCACTATTCAATTTGGAATCAGTTCCATTCACAAAGGCCGTTTATGTATAAGAATATTTTATTTTCAAATGCTTTCGCTTTTACATCCCTTGCAAGGGAGATGAGGAAGTTAAATAAAAGGTTTAGACTGTGATGTGAGGGGGGAAGAGTGAATATGACTATAAGGGTCACAGAACTGGAAATTTTTGTGGTGATGGGTGAAAGCATAAACTGATTCCAACAAACTCATTTCCCTCAAACCACACTGGTGGGAAATTGTAACTTGTTATTTTTAAGGGCTCTTTTTAATTGTATCTTGTTACTTTCAATTCTGCTTTAATTGAAAGGCAATAAAACATTTACCAAGTACCTACTAAAATTCTGTTAACTTTTTCATAACAAAAACAAAGCAAAGATGGTCGCTTCTCTGTATATGCCTCTGTATATGGGATAAGTCATTTTTTAGTAGCTGGTTGGTTTTATAAGCCTCTCAGCAAGCAGGTACAGATATACATGTCTTCCAGAAGTATTTCTTCTTTGAAGACTCATTTTCTTGAGGGGCATTGCTTTGCTCATTCAGTGAAGACTTTGGGTATGAAAATGAAGAAACTGTACTTTGGCCTCCAGACTCCATTGTCCATGGGAACTGAACCTGCTCCCTGATTTGTAATCTTCATGACCAAGGTCTTCTTAAAATAGAAATGGCAGGAAAGCTTTCCTATGCTTCGGATAGGAGACAAATTTGCTTTTGTAGAATTTGTGGCTGAGGAAAGCGGACAGTGCTTGGCTGAAGAAGACATATGTCACCACGAGCCACCAAGTTAAGTTCTGGAATCCAAAAGTGACAGCCATGGAGATGTAGACCATCAGCTCTGCTAGGTAGTTAGGGGAAGAAACATATTCAAACCAGTCTCCAAAAGGGATGCGATGGTTACAGTGAATGACTACTCCTGCAATGGAATAAAGAGACTTCCTGAACATTTGAGGAAAGTTTTACCACATCAACCCTCAAACCATTTACACAAAGTATTCTTCACAAAAGAGAACCTGGATGTTTGAACCACCCATTAGATTTCTTATCGTCCAACTACTACATATTAAAAAGTCACCTGGAGGGGCTCTCCCTGGTTGTGCAACGGGTTAAAGCACCGCATTATGAAGCTCTCCCAAGCCACTGCAGCATGAGTTCAATTTCCCACCAGGGAGCTGACCCACATGGCATGGCAGACCTCTCCTGACCCGCCCGCTGCTCCCCTCAGCAGTGTACTTTGTCAGTCTGCCTGATCTGCTCCCTACTCTGTCTCTGGTGAATCCTCTCACCTACCACACCTCTGGCCTGTACCCCACTTCTGTAAGCATAAGTAAATAAATCTTAACAAAAAAAAAAGTCACCTGGTTATCTTTGTCTATCAATTGTTCACAAGGACAAAAGGAAAGCCCCCTTTTCCCAATAATTCTCCAAGTTAGTAAATTAGACTCTACACTGCATGCATTCAAGTCCTGACTCTGCAATGTTAAATGAACTGCTTAATCTTTCTGCCTAATTTCTTCACCTGTAGAATGAGGATAAGATTGCACGTACTTCAAGTGAATACTGTGAAACTAACTGTAAAGCATTCAGAGTAGGGGGTAGTGAAAAGTAAGTAAATAAGACTCAGTAAATGCTGACCAGTACTATCCCATTTTTAATATTTTAAGAGGCTTAATAAAAGCCATATTTGTAACAAGTTAACTAAAAACTCATTTTTTGAAAGATTTATTTTTATTTATTTATTTATTTATTTATTTGCATTGAAGAACTGGAGAATAGCCCAAAGATAAAAAGTGGAGTGAGAGGATTCACCATATACAGAGGCAGACTGACTGAAATACACTGCTGAGGGGAGCAGCAGGTGAGACAGGAGAGGTCTGCCATGCAATGTGGGTCAGCTCCCTTGTGGGGGATGGAGCTCATGTCTCAGCAGGCTGGGGGATAGCTTGATAGTGCTGAGACTTTAATCCCTCTGCCACCAGGGAGTCCTCAATTTTTTTTAACTTTGGCTGAAGTGACACTAGCTCACCATGGGAACACCAGTGCTTACATGCTGGCCAGACACAAATGCAGCACAGGCGGCCAAACATGCACAAAACAGAATCATAGACTGTCAGGAATCAATGGTCCACAGAGATCTCCAATCCCATGCCGCATCTGACAAATGCAAAGATCTGGGTCCAGAATATTATCTTGTCAAAAATAAGCATTTGACAAATTAGTGTCTCACGCAGGGCAGGAAGGAGAATGAAGGAACACGGACAACTCCCTTCTGATGGTTAAAATCCACATGCAAGGGCTCTGAAAGTTACCTCACCTGCTTTATTTTTCCTGAGATTGCCAAGAATGACGTGGCACTTATACTGATGGACAGAAGACCAGATGAACATCATCATCCCGAGGATATGGAACCATCGCGCCTGCATGAAGAGATTTTTCCCTATCACATAGACTGCGAAAAGAGAAATTATTTTATTAGCTGACTCTTCCAAATTTCAGAAGTTAGGAGAATTAAAAAAATCATACAACCAACCAGTAGAACATAGTTATCTACTTAGTCTCGCTCCTTGTGGCTACAAAAGCACCCTGCTATAACGCCCAGTGCAGAGGGGAGAACACTGTCCCGCCTGAACACAGGGCTGTGCTGCTTCTCAGCCAGAGGGAAAATGGCCCTGCCAGAGAATTCTGTGCTGACATCTTCTCTTGCTAATTCTTCAAATACTTGTAGCAGGGACTTCATGTCTCCTACTCTGGAGACCCTATTTCTTCCCTACTCTTGTGTGATAAGACTACTCTGTATTTCTAAGTTTGGTTTTATCTTTCTATTCTTTTGATCTACTGTTAGTGTCAGGAAAGTACTTTCTAAGAAATCTCTCTCTAAGCGAGCTAGCGAGGCCCTGAATGTGGGTGTTGAGTGGCCTGGATCCAGTCAGTGAAGAAAATCACTGAAATCAAAGGCGTAGGGGGCTTCCTAAAAAAAGGAGAAATGCAAACTGCTAAAAATGGAGCTTCTATATGACCCAGCAATCCCACTCCTAGGTATCTACCCAAAAGACACAAAAACACTGATTCAAAAAGACACCTGCA